GATTCTGGGAGTTGAAGTCCGCAGGACTTAAAGTCGCCAAGGTTGAGAAACACTGTGCTAACATGATCCAGGCCCTTTCTGTTAGCTGTCTTCCTCTAGACATAATCCGTTTATTTCGGTCTGCTGTAATTATTATTATTATTTTAAGATACATAACTTCCTGAGTAAGATTACATTTAAGGATGCCTCAAGATGAAGCGTCTCTCTTACTACTTTTGCCTTTTTGAGAAAATTGTATTAGTCTGGAGCCATACATGTTCTTAGAGATACATTCAGTTCAGCAGCACGAGACCGCCCTCTTGTGGACAAAAGCAGATAAAGCACGCTTCATTCAAGGAAACAACTAGGCTGAAAAATTAGGTCGTTGTGCTACAGATTGTTTCAACAAAATGCCAGACCTTTGTTCCGAAATAGCCAAACTCAGAGGTCGTAAACAGAGGACTTCTGTACCTTCTAACCGATAGGAGCTTAAACTTATTTAAGGCAGGCAATCATCAATGGGAGGTGAAGTGAAGTTCAGGAGAAATTCACCAATCGCTTTCCTTATCTTGATAAAGGTTATGAGAGTTCTTGCCAAGGACCGAAGGGATTCTAACAACCCAAGGCCACAGAATAACGGATTTAAGTTACGTTTGTAGAACAAACTTTGTAATGTTAAGGCTAATTCCACAGCCAAACTAATTACCAAGTGAGGTTGAGAGAAGTCTCCCTTTCCTGGATGTTTTCAAGCAAAAAGTAAAGTATTTGGTATGTTTTAATCTGAACTTCTGCATTCAGCAAGGAGCCGAATGTTGATGGCTTGAGTCTTCCATCCAACATTTGACCATTTATATAATGCCAAATATGTTCTACACCCGAGTTTTCAAACAAATGACGCTTGGGGCTTTTTTTCTTTGTTTGTTGAACGTGGCAGGATCCCAGTGCTATGCCCCGACCAACTTCACAGGACCTGGCAGGATTCTGGGACTTGTTACAACTCTCAATTGAAGACGTCAGTATGAAGTTTGATGAACTGCATCAGATGAAACTGAATGAATGGAAAATAATAGAATCGCCCGAAAAAAAGGTAAGCTGGTTCCTTGTGGTGCATTTCTTAGATTTCTAAGCCTGCAATTATTTTTCTTGTGAAATCATTGTCGGACAAGACTCTCCAAAAGTTCAGGGAACACAGCAAGGACCGTGGCAGGTATTCCTTGGCATGATGGCACACATAATACCACAGTGAAGTCCTTCCTTCCTTCCTTCCTTCCTTCCTTCCTTCCTTCCTTCCTTCCTTCCTTCCTTCCTTCCTTCCTTTAGAATGTATGTACTACTCAGACCAAAGCAGCTTAGAAAATAATTTTAGAAACCATATTAAAATGCAACTATTAAAAAACAATAGAGACACACATACGCTTTCAACTCAGTATTTCAAGGAACAGCTTTAACAATCGAACCCACAGGCTGGCTCTTCTCGTGGCTTAACTGTTTCCCAAGGCAAATTAATCCCAATTTTCTGGCACTGAGATAAGACTTCACCTCATCTCCTCTTTAGCCCAGGAACAACATATACAACTATCACCTGTATCCTGATGATACTTGGCCTTTTGACAGACGGTGGCCTTACACAAAAGCTTACCATAGATATGAAATAATTTTCAACCTTGGGCCACCCTGTAATAGAGAGGACGAGGACGCTACTATTGACTGCGACTCCACTTTCAAAAAGCAGGCAAGTGACTGCACAATAACGCCAAATCCCCAGAAATGGTTCTGTAAAATAATATCATTGGCAACATCAAAAGTTCCAGCAAGATCAGATCAGCTGTAGCCCCCACTGACCTGCGGTTGCCACGGGTTGCCCAAAGGAGGGATCAGTGATCATTTTGCTGACTGCCAGCAGTTTGGCAGTTCGATTCTCATCAGCTCACAGTTGACTCAGCCTTCCATCCTTCCAAGATCAGAAAAATAAGGACTCAGATTATTGGGGACAATATGCTGACTCTGTAAACCACTTAGAGAGGGCGGTAAACACTGTGAAGTGGTATATAATTGGATAGAATATTTGGAGTTTCTGAGACCAAGATTAGAAATATAATGTGAAAATTAAGTACTAAGGATTAACCATATCTTTGGTAAAATTACCTGGTCCAATTATGCCCCCCCCCCATTTTGGGCCAACCTTTACCGGCACAAATGCCCTCCCTTTGCAGAGGCAGCTGCAGCTCCTCCGGGCAGCCTCGCACTCCGGGCAGTGTCCAGTCAGCCAGCCATGCCAGCCAGCAGAACTGCGGACGAGCCAGCTACCCAGCCTGCTGCTGCTGGCATGCCGCCCTTACAGCAACACTCCGCTCTGCCCGCGCAGCAACTGAACTTCCAGTTNACACACACACACACACACTGATATAACATGAAGGGAAATGTAAAATCAGAAGAATGAACAGAACTTCTTGTGGACACTGGTGTTAAATAAGTGGGAAAGAAGCCTAGAAGCCTTGCTCTGCATGTTTTCACTACACTGATTAGATTGCCCTGGTACATATGTTGAGCAAAACAGGACACATTGTATATGACTTTATTTGTAGGGTTTAATTAATTACATGAAAATTACAATTTTAGAATCGAAGAATACAGGATCATCTTCATATTTTGCTACTAACAGCTTTCTCCAAGGCTTTGGCAACTTGGTCCACATTTAGATTATTCAGAGACACACTCTTTTCTAGACCAAAAGCTGTAAAAAAGCAAATTTCATTTTAAAAAAATCTTAAGACTTCATTCAAAGATAATTCTATGGTTTCAAAACACAATTGTGTTTTTAATCTATAAGTCTTTTACAAGTGAACTGTTATCTAAAGATTTGCTAATCCAATTCAGAGAAAAGCCTGCATATGGGGATAAAATATATATGTACAATACTATTTTTCTAAAATGTTTTCAACTGCCACTGAATGGTACAAAAAAAGGATAGAATCCTTTCTGTCAGTTATTCTATACGATATTGGCACCTGCCAACTTCTTTCCCTCTCTGTTGCAATAATGTAGAATTCAACTTGTTTGTCAACACTATTATGTAATAGAATTAGCACAAAAGTCTCTATTAAATCTCTGTAATACTGTATATATTTCTTTTAATAGATTAAGCCAACTTGTGCATTTATGTTGATATCAACTAATGTGAAAATGGTCTTGGTTTACAAACAACCTCATATCTGCAGAAAACCTTCCTATTTTTCTTTTCAACAACAATATATTTCAAATACAATGTTTTAGAGATAAATAACAAACCCTAGCGAACAAACAATTGAACAAATTGTTTCTATTGTACTTGCAAAAGAATATTTTACCAAAAAAGAAACCTTTCTAACTCACCATATCTAGTCCAAAGCATAGGATGAACATTGGAGCACTCTCTAATCAAGATGGGAAAGTTTGGATTTGCCTTCTTCAATGTGACATAGTGCTGTTCAATGAAATCTCTGCAAATAATTCAATAAGTAGAATAGAATACAATCAGTTCAAGGATTTTATTCCAATAAATTAACAAAACTCCAAAAAGATGTGTATTCCTATCTTACTCAGTTTTGATTCACTTTTAATGTTCAATATTTTAACCTTTTTAATGTTTTATATTGCCGTCTTTATGATATTGTAAGCTACCCAGTGTCTCTAAACAGTGAGATGGTTAGTACATAAATTTAACAAATAAATATTAATCACAGAATATGCTACACTTTACTTCAAAGTAATATTTCAAAAT